GTTATATTACATAAACATTTACTGGTTTACTTTATGGCAGAGTTTCTCAACCTTTTACACCTCAAGGCCCCACTTAGTTATTTCACACAATAATAAAGGCCTATGTGTGTAGCTGTTCGTTTAGGGCAGTCACAAGTGTCCCAGCATGAGGGTGTACACATCTCACAGTCTACTTGTTGAATATCATTGTTCTATAGCACGCTGCTAACTAGAACAAAATTTGAGAGCTGTACATGCTAGCATAACTCAAAGAAGATAATTATCGTAGCACACAGACATGGGTAGTACCTTTTTTTATGGTCTGGAGAATACCAATGTAAACATTGACAAATGAAGATGGTAAAAGGCATGGATAGATATGACAGATAGAACTACATAAATTAAAACTAAAATCACTCAAAATTAAATATACATCAACAAATGCAATATATATAACTCAAAATAAACATAATTTACAAACTGATTAGAAACATTTAATACTATAAATCAATATACCAGAAAACAAAAACCAATAACAATTAGATTGCTCTGAATCTTCAGTTTCGTATTCTTGCTGTTTGTGATATTTGTGGCAGTAATTGAGTAACACCCCAAGAGGTTCAGCCGGCTAGTTAAACCACCAAGTGGAAGAAGTTAACATTTTCTTACTTTAAAATTGTATTTCCAATAGGTACTTACCTTTCTCACACAAAACTATCTTGATTCTGGTATGCCCTCTAAGCATTGGTAAAAAAATTTTGCTACAGTGCACCAGTCTTTATATCCTATCAATTTAGTGCCATTTCAGAACATGTGCTGATCATGTGACTACTCTCCACCAATTGTACTGCACCATTTATACTGATGCAATTAGCTTACCCTACTTTTCTAGAACAATCCTCACTTTCGAGAATTGGCAGGTACAAACCATAAACACCGGAATCTCAATGGGGAGGAAGGGTGGGAAGCGGGTAAGCGAAGGTAAATACTTATTGGAAATAAGTAAGAAAATGTTAACTTTCGAAATGGTACTACCTCTCTCACCCAAAGCTAGAATTCCACATTGCCTAGTTAAGATACTGGTGAAGACACATCAATCACAAATCAAGTAGAAAGCGACCACAATGAAAAAACGGGTGTGCTAGAACATGAAAAGAAAGCACACCAGTGGGTACAGCACTACTTGTGTAACGTGTATGTTCTTTGCCCAGCAATCAATACAGTAACACGGCTGGGGTGGAACCATATTGACATGCACCACTGATGTCAATAAAGAGATGTACAGCACTGAATCAGTGCAGGAAGTGCTGGATAACTATTACATGAATCAGTATGGTGTTGACAAACATGGAAGGGCTCACGTGTATGCAACCATTCTTCTTTATATGTATATGCTAAGGAAAGTGCCTTGGGTCACATCAGATTATGCCAAGTGCGGTTCATCCAGGCAAAAATATTCAGGGAAGCACCTTGGATAAATAGGATTTTGAAAGATATATATTACTGTTAAGAGTGTGATCATGAGGGTCATCATAACTACCCCTCTGTTCACATCCATGTCATATCGAGCCATCATAAGAAAACAAGACGTAGTACCAAACAGTGTGATAGTGAGTCATAACATGGTGCCAGTAAATGAGCTAGAAAGAAAAGAAAGAAAGTACATGGCTAGAGCAAATGGACCATGAAGTGGAAGCACCTTTCATAAAAAAATATATAATCAAAAAGTGTGGTTTACCCAAGTAAAAACATCTGGGGGAAGAGCCTTGGATATCAAATATTATTGTATAATTCATTGTTTGGTATTGTAATGATTATAAAAACTAGAGAGTCCTCTTCTTTCTGAGTGGGTACACATGGGGTAGAAAGGTTTTCTTTTCCAGCGACTGAGAACCGGAAGTGGTAAGGACACCTATGCTCCACTTGAAGAGAAGGGGAGGAATACGAATTGGTGACTCCAGAGGAACAACACACCGGAGACAATGCAATTGGTGTTTGTGATTCCCTATTTTGAAAAACAGATAAAACCCAATTGTAGGAATCATGAGTCAGTAGGGATGTGCAGAAATCCCCATCTGCTTTACTCATGAGGTCCATGAGTGATGGTATTGATAAATGAAACTAGTAATGTTGAAGTTAAAAAAAAAAAAAAAAAAAAAAAAGAAAGATACACATACTTCCAGACAAGCTGCCAGCAGTCTTACAGAAACACCCCACCTCAAAAGTGAGCATTACAGAATTTTTCATATCTAGAGCAAATATAATATGAAGCACATCTAACCAGGCAACACTAATCACTAGGTGGGATCCTGAAATACAATATGTATCAATTAAAAATATAAAGGAAAAGTAATATGTTGACTTACCACAGTCAAAGATGAACAGACGTGTAGAATCACCATAGGAGGAAGATGATACCTGCCCGAGGAAGACACAGGTTGTGGAGATAATGTGTGATGAATGTATTGGGAGTTGTCCACATCCCAGCCTGAACTATCTTCTCCAAAGGCCAGCAAAGATGAGCAGCTAAAGATGTAGTTAGATTACAAACTGGATATGAAAGAACATTATGCAGATGGTGACTTTCCATGGACAAATCAAATTTTGACAGTTGTATGAGTTGACAAACCCAAACAGTGAGAGCAATAGGAGACAGATCACAGGACACAGAAGGAATCACTGGAACAAATAGATGGGAATGATAACATTATAAGGGGCAATACAAACCACATAACATCTCAAGGAATGAACCAGACAAAGAAGTATATCCGGAACTGAACGGGAGTACAGGTTGGAAATGGAAGGCAAGGAATCAAGAGAGAAGGCCAAAACACATGCCTGGGCAGCATATGCCTAGGGAAGGAAGGCCAGATCAGGAAAGAGGATAATATAAGAGGAATGGTAAAGGATGCAGGAAACACCAATGGCAGAAATATAGGAACAATGACAACTGCAAGCAAGGAGGAGGAAGAGGACTTAAGGGAAAGATGGTACAAGGAACACATAGCAATGGGTTCAAATGGAGAATTGGATAGTGCATGAAGGATAAAATTGAGATCCAACATGGCAAAATAAAGGAACATGGAGGACAGACAAGACAAAAGGAATGGAAAGGAGGGAAATAACATGGGAAGAGAAAGTTTTCAGAAAATGGGTGAATTGGAAGGTGTTTGACAGGGCAGCTTTATAGCTAGAAACAGTTGACATGGACAAACTCTGATCAAACAACCACGCAAAAAACTGAGAAAGATGAGGTACCCAAGGTCGGGAGGAGTGGAAGCCATGGCAAATGAACCAAGGTCTGAAGGTAGACCACTGCCTCTGGTACACAGAAAAGGAGGAAGGTCAATGAAACAGGAAAGGAAAGATGCTACACAAGGGGTGAGTCACTGAGCTGAGGCAAGTGACCAGACAAAAGTCATGCATGAAGATGGAGTTTAGTGAGATCAGAAAGACTATGTCTGATCACGGTTGTTGGAGGAGAGACTGGGACAGAGGTTGTCACTCCAGTAAGGTCCAGAGCAGAGGGAACCATGTCTGAGCAGGCCACGACAAGGAGTGGTCTGGATAAGGGAAAAGACTCTGTAGAGGAATTTGATTGGAGGGTAGGCATATGGGTGAAGACCCCTACAATCTTAATTGAATGCATCTACTCCGATAGCTGAAGGGTGTGGAACCAGAGACCAAAAGGAAGGAATTTTGGCATTCCAGTGACTGGCAAACACATCTATATGTGGTGTTTCCAGTTGAGAACACACCACTGAAATACCCGTGTAAGAAGAGAACACTCTGTAGGGTCTCTGGTTGGATCAAGATAAGTGATCAGCCACCAGATTCATAATGCTGGGAACGTGATATGCCAAGATCGCCATGTAGTAATCGTGAGCCAAGTAAAGAAGACCCAGTGATTTGGATTTGGTTTCCCCTTGTTTGGTGATATAGCCCATGACAGTGGAATAGTTGGAATGAACCATAACCACCCGCAATCTTAGGAGTGGGAGGAAATGATACAGAGCCCGATGAACTGCCAAAAAATTCAGGATGATGGACTATCGACTAGAAATCTCTTGGGAATTGTGGAAAGCTCTCCAACCCACCAAGGAAATATCAGTAAACAGATGAGACTCCGGACAATGTAGTGGAATGGGAACTCCCGCCATGGTTAGTTCCCTGTTTAGTCACCAAGCAAGGTCAGCCCTGATCCTAGGTGGAAGGATAATGGGATGGTCCAAGGGATTGTTGGAGAAGTTCCATTGGTAGAGAAATATCCACTGAAGGGAATGCATGTGAGTTCAATTCAAGGGAAGGAAAGCTTCCAACGAAGCCCACATGCCCAAAAGAGAGAGAATCCTCATGCAGTGAGAAAAGAAAGTAGGGCCATTGAGACTGTTTGGTCCATATCCTTGAGTTGAATTAGAGAAAGCTGGGCCTGACAAGGATCTGAATTGTAGAAAACTCTCAATGGAATAAGATATTGATTGGGGTTAATCATGGACTTTTCCAACTGGATCAGAAAACCCCATCCAATTGGCTCCCCAAAGAAGTAAGCAGGTGTGATTGACTGACTGGGCATGGGAAGAGGCGAGCAGGAGCCAGTCCTTCATGAAAAGACGAGTCTGAAGATCCAACGAGTGAAAATAATGGGCAAAAGGGCATACCACTTGACAAAACACACAAAGCCGAAGAAGGAACAAACGGCAGCACCTGGAACTGGAAGACACGACACTCATGGACAAACCAAAGAAAACAATGTGACACTACAGCAGTTGAAATAGGAAGATAGGTATCCGTCACAATGATTTGGTCATCCAGAGTCCCAGGGAAAATCTCCAAAGTGAGAGATAGGATTTCATGGTGAAGTAAGGTGGTTCCAGATAAGAGTTCAACTGAGACAGGCCTATGATGGGTCTCCAATCTCCCACCTTTCAAGGGACAACAATTAAACAGGAGTAAAACCCTGGTTGAGTGGATATCACCCATTCAACAGCCCCTTTGTGTAGTAGGTCTTGAACAGACTAGGCAAGATGACTGGAAGAGGTACAATCTCGAGGACGAGGGAAGGAGATCTGGTAAGTAGATAGGAGTGGAGCAGAACTGAAAGTAGAAACCTACAGACAGAACCCGTAGAACCCTCAGAACTGTCATAAAAAGTAGCTAAAAAGACACATAAACTAAACATACTTAGAGAAGGTACTCATTACTAACAAAACCTAGAAATTTGTAGAGACTACGAGGTACATAAATATAACAATCTTGCAAAACTATGAAACTCGACCTAAAACAATAAGCGACACCTAAAGTAGAAAATCACTAAAGCAACTTAGAAGATAAAAGATACATAAATAGAGAACTTATAAGTCCACTCAAAAAACTGATAAGACAAAGAACACAAAAGTAAAACCTACCCTGAAGAACATGAGAATGAAAAGACACACAGATAACAATAACAAAATTTGACTCAAATCTAATCCCCAATTAGATGTGACTAGTAGTAAAGAAAAAGGAACTTACAAACTAACTAACATAAATAGTAAAAGGAAGTACAAATAACGAACCAACACACCCACAAAATTGGCAGAAATTACAATTACCCAAACAATAACTATTGTGTAAAACTTGTACATATACTGAAAATTAAACAAAAACAAAGTAATAATCAAACTCTAAATGAAAATCTAAAGTAACATAGATGTAAAAGAATTATAAAAATCTAACTTACCAAATACTGAGTAGAGAAGACATGAAAGACCTAAATTATCATGCAAAGGAATTAGGTCAATCCACACAACTCACACAAACTTGCTAAACATGGGTATACCTACCGGAAGTGAGGAGTACACACTGAAAAACTTACAACAGATCTCCTGGGAAAAAGAACAATACTTAACCCAAGAGATTACATGGAGATGCAGTAACAGGTGGAAGGTGCCGTAGAAAGAAATTTCCACACAGTAGTTATATTCTTCCTCACAAAAAATCATAATGTGAAAGGAAGAAATCATTGCCCGAACACAAGACAGGAACTCCCGCGAACATCCCCAGTAGACATTGTTGATCCTGAAACCTGGAGACTTATATCAGAACCACTGTTGACTGAGCTGAGAATTTCATCATCCGCCATATTAACTCTTGAATTCATATGAACAAATTAGAATTCGGAAAGCAGAAATATTTCTAAAACAAATGAGTGGAAACAATGGAATCAAACTCAAGTTGAAATTGATATAAATTTGTGATCAAGCACAACCAAAATTTTGTAGTCACATGGAGAGTGAGTTAAAACAAACATCTACACACTAGAAAGCCAATCGAGAAAGCGAGGATTGATCTAGAATTGTAGAGGTTGTTAGCTGTACCAGTATAGATGGTGCAATACATTTGGTGGAGAGTAGTCACGTGATCAGCACATGTTCTGAAATGGTGTAAAACTGATGGGGTATAAAAATTGGTGCGCTGTAGATAATTTTTTTAGCAATGCTTAGAGGCCTGACCTGAATCAAAACAGCTTTCATGAGAGGAGATAGTACTGTTTCAGAATCATTATTTTAGGAGAACAAGAAAATTTACATTTATATACTTTATATAAACTTGGTTATTTGGAGCCTTATGATGGTCAGTAGTTGTAGTTTCTTCATGAGCCAATTACTGACTAGATAACTTAAGAAAAAAACGTTTTTAACTAAGAAACAACAAAGAAAAATTAATAGAAAATGAAACAAGAAAAACTGAAAAGCAAAACAAAAACTAAACAAAATGAAATCACCTCTAAGTATTCTTCTAACTCCACCTGTCCATTTTTATTTAGATCCACCTCGTTTAGAATTTCATGAAGTGTGTCTTCGGGAATCTTCTCACCAGAGCTCTAAAGGATACAACAATGCAGTTTTCTCTTAAAAACCATCTTTGCAACCATGAACGAGGTATGTTTATCAATATTTACAAGGTTGGGTCACAAAAAGAGTCTAATAAATAATATTGCTGTTTACAGGCAAAACAACAATGTAGGCTTATTTATATTAAATTTTAAATAAATACCTTATATCTTATGAATATATATATGAAAGGGGAGGGGATACACACTTGAATATTTGACTTGCCACCATTTCTTACTCATGTATCAACCTTTACATTAGCTGTTTACTTCTGAAACATGAATGACCAAATTTGATTTGCCATCACTTCTTAGTGTCAACACTTACACCACTGGTTTATTGGTGAAGCTTGACTGCCCAAGTCTGATTTGTGACCACTTCCTAAATTATGGTCGTTCCTTACAACAGCTTCTTAAGCATGACTGACCCAAATATATTTGCTAGCACTTCCTACCTATTAGTGTCAATATTTTGTAACAGCTATTGATTTGCCATATTTTTGTACTTTTCTCAGAATCCTTAATTTCTGATACAAAGTTAGTATTTTACAAAATGAGAGGAAAAACACATTCCATAGTAAATGAAAAAGCCTTTGCTAGCCCACACTTAGGTTCCTCAAACATGACAATTTTAATTTTTAGGTTTAGAGTCATTTATTTAGATACACACAAAACAGCCTGATACAGATCTATGCGTGTTAAACTGTTACCTAGTGGTAAAATGGTAACATTACAGGAACTGATAACTCAAATGTTATTGTAACTAATAACTACAGCAAATGATAACTTGTATATTGCAACTAAAAAACTTGGGGATTATATTACATTACAGACAAACTCCCGTAACACACCAAGTTTAATAAAGTACATTAAGAAATGTTTTAGTCCAAACAGACCAGTAACTGTAAAACATTATAACCTTAACAAAATACATCAATATGTCACTTTTAGCCCAAAACACAGACCAAGCACTGTAAACGGAACAAATTACATTAATATACCACATTTTAGCCCAAATAAGCCAAGTACTGTAACACACATTGTCAACTTAACAAAACATACTAATATACCACATTTAACCCAACTAACCAAGCACTGTAATACATTGTCAACTTAACAAAATACATTAATATACCACATTTCAGCTCAAACAAACTAAGCACTTTAATACAATGTCAACTTAACAAACCACATTGATATACCACATTTTAGCTCAAACATACCAACCACTGTAATACACTGTAAACACAACAAAATACACTAATATACCACATTTTAGCCAAAACAAATCAACCACTGTAATACATTGTAAACACAACAAAATACACTAATATACCACATTTTAACCAAAACAAATCAACTACTGTAATACACTGTAAACATAACAAAATACACTAATATACCACATTTTAGCCAAAACAAATCAACTACTGTAAACATAACAAAATACACTAATATACCACATTTTAGCTCAAACATACCAACCACTGTAATACACTGTAAACACAACAAAATACACTAATATACCACATTTTAGCCAAAACAAATCAACTACTGTAAACATAACAAAATACACTAATATACCACATTTTAGCTCAAACATACCAACCACTGTAATACACTGTAAACACAACAAAATACACTAATATACCACATTTTAGCCAAAACAAATCAACCACTGTAATACATTGTAAACACAACAATATACACTAACATACCACATTTTAACCAAAACAAATCAACTACTGTAATACACTGTAAACATAACAAAATACACTAATATACCACATTTTAGCCAAAACAAATCAACTACTGTAAACACAACAAAATACACTAATATACCACATTTTAGCCAAAACAAATCAACCGCTGTAATACACCGTAAACATAACAAAATACACTAATATACCACATTTAGCCCTAAAAGACCAAGCACTGTAATACACTGAAAAAATAGAAAAATACATCATTTAATATAACACATCTCAGCTCTAATACACCAAGCACAAACATTTACAGAATATGTCCACAATTACATAAAATACTGTATCTTATATATGTCTATCTTACATTACTCAGTTATTTAATTCATTATATATATATATCAGTACATGTATCTATCTTACATTACTCAGTTATTTAATTCATTATATATATATATATATCAGTACATGTATCTATCTTACATTACTTAGTTATTTAATTCATTATATATATATATATATCAGTACATGTATCTATCTTACATTAC